ATTCATAAACGAGACACCGCTGTGTTTGAATGGAGATGCGCAGCGGCTGAGCTGTGACTTTGTTTTAAACTATTTTCAACGACGAAATAGAGCAAAATCAGACAATAGTGTTATAGTCAGACAATGTAAGTCACTTAATATTAACTTCTTGTTTATTGAATTGTATTGTATTAAATCAGTATCACATTTACAAACAAAAATCATTAAAAGCTGGCACTCATCTTAGCTCATCGCGATCTCACATTTATAATCAACGAAGCTCTCTACACTGCACAATGAATCTCTCACTTTGCTTATGAAAGGATTCGTGAGATACGTCTGTGATACATCACTCAACGCTGCAGAAACACGTAGAAACATTTGAAGCTCCCCTGAGCGCAATCACAAGTATGATGATGATCGGGTCAGTCGCACTGGTGCTCCTAAAAAAAATGTTTATAGTCGCACGCAGTAGTTTTCAGTCGCAAATGCGACTGAAATGGTCGCACTATAGAGCCCTGGGGTGTTTACGCAGTTGGCTAGAGCAGTGCTGATTGGGGAGAACGGAGGTGCGCTCACTCTTGCCCAGGGCAAGTAAGATTGCAACTCAAGGCTGGCAGTCATGCATATGCTCTGGAACAGAGTAATATCGCGTCCACATCGCAGGCTTTGCGATTAGGAAATTGCAACGTCTCAAATCACGATTTCGATTAATCGCACAGGCCTAATTGGTTGTCTTCTGGTGAGTCTTATCAGGCATTTATTTGTCCCTATCCCTGTTTAGAAATATCAGTGCACCCCATTTTCAGGGGAGAATAAATAAAAAAAACAGCAAAATAATTATGAGTACAGTGAGTTTTGTAACAGTACAAAATCTCCTGCTATAGAAGAGTATTTGTATTCAGTTTGCTATTATGGATTTCTAATAATTAAGCTTTGTTTGAGTGTCATAAGGGGTTTAATACAATTTTATGTTTTGAAAGGGGAAGCCATTTTTAATAACCCATTAGATTTAGTAGATTCTAATTTGAGATTGGCATCTGGTGTGCTACTGGTTTATTTTGAGAGCTTTTTAATGATCCATCCTATAGTAATTCCCAATGCACTTTCTCACACAAAAATGAAATGCAGCATCATTCTTTTGCATTTGTGTCAATCACTCTTGCTATTCTTGTTGTGTGTGTGTGTGTGTGTGTGTGTGTGTGTGTGTGTGTGTGTGTGTGTGTGTGTGTGGTGGGGGTCAGACCGACCGAACGTGCAGGATCACGAGTTAGTGGAAAGACTACAGCAGCCATATGTGGGCGCTCTCCACTCTTACATCCGAATAAAACGACCCAACGTGAGTATGATTCACCTTAGAGGCCAAACATAACACTTAAAGGGTTAGTTCACCCAAAAATGAAAATTCTGTCATTAATTACTCACCCTCATGTCGTTCTAAACCCGTAAGACCTTCGTTCATCTTCGGAACACAAATGAAGATATTTCTGATGGAATCTGAGAGCTGTCTGACCCTCCATAGACAGCAACGCAACTGAAATGTTCCCAAGTCCAGAGACGTAGCAAGGAGATCGGTAAAATAATCCATGTGACATCAGGGGTTCAACCGTAATATTACGAAGCTACGAGAATACTTTTTGTGTGCAAAAGAAAAAAAAAAAACGACTTTATTCAACAATTCGTCTCCTCCGCGTCACCCTGTAGGGCCATTTTGGAGAGTGTCCACTGAACGTAAACAGCGTATGTTGTTCTGTGTCAGCTGCGTCACATGGATAAGCTGTTTTCGTTCAGATCAAAGCACAAACAACGTAGAAAACGTATCCGTGTGGTGGATATTCTCCAAAATGGCGCTAGGGTGACACGGAGGAGATGAATTGTTGAATAAAGTCGTTTTTTTTTTTTCTTTTTCGCACAAAAATTATTCTCGTAGCTTCGTAATATTACGGTTGAACCCCTGATGTCACATGGGTTATTTTACCGATGTCCTTGCTACGTTTCTGGACGTTGATCGTGGTAATTACGTTGCTGTCTATGGGAGGGTCAGACAGCTCTCAGATTCCATCAAAAATATCTTAATTTGTGTTCCGAAGATGAACGAAGGTCTTACGGGTTTGAAACGACATGAGGGTGAGTAATTATTGACAGAATTTTGATGTTGAATTTTGTGTTTTGGGTGAACTAACCCTTTAAAGAAGAAAAGTTAGTGCTAAAAGAATATCAGTGTTTTGATAGTGTTTGTTCATTTTAAAGTCATGCCGTTTATGGTCAGTTAGATTTTTTAAAATGTTTTGAAAGAAGTCACAAAGGCTTGCCAAGACTGCATTTATTTGATTAAAAATACAATAAAACGATAATATTGTGAAAAA